ATAAAATAACAACAGTAGCTGTTTAGCTATTTCCTGAGCATCAGTGAGCAGCCGTGAACTTGGGGGAAAATGAGTACTGCTGAAGGTGAGCATGTCAGGTGCACTGAAGCATAGCTGAACTGTGTTGCTAACCAGACCAGGAGTCAGAAATAAGACTGGGGCAAGCCTTTAAAGATTTGAAGTGTGCTGCTGCTAATGCACATAGAGGAAGCAAGCCTGTACCTCAGTTGCTCACAGTTCCCACTGACGGCATATGAGAAAGTGGTCTGGAAGCCTCTTTTTATATATGAGAAAAATAAGTCTCAGAGAAGTTGCCCAAATCATGCTCAGCTAGTAAATATTATGGCCATGACTCAGAGTCAGTTGTCCTTGCCCTCAAAGTACATGCTTTTCTTTACATAGCATCAACTAGGTCACTGTTTAATGCCTTGACTTTGAGTTCTTGCTCTGCATTGGGCCAAAAACATATAGATTTTTTTCCTTGACATTATATATTCATTTCTCAGATATTTACTGAGTGCCTACTACGTAGCTCAGTGCAAAGCCCTGGGTTCAATCTCTAGTATGAGAAAGAGAGAAACAGAAACAGAGACAGAGAGACAGAGACAGAGACACACAGCTTACATTCCAGTGGGAGAGAAAGACAATAGGCAAGTCAACAAGCATTAATTTTAAGCAGAGAGTGGGTGGCACACAGCTAAAGCAGGCAGGAAGGCCTCTTTAAGTGGGTAACTCTGAAAACTCAGACCTGAACAGGAGGATACAGTTCTGCAGAGTGGGAGCAGCAGTCTGTGTGAAAGGCTTCAGGAAAAAGACACAGGTGGCACTGAGGGACAGCACAATGATGCCACTGAGGGCTGAAGTGAGCCCAGGTTGGAGGAGCCCGGGAAGGGGATGGGCCAAGCAGGAGCTGTGGGCCCTCAGAGGTCAGAGTGCAGCAGGAACCCTCAGGGGTGACTAATCTGATTTGAACTTTCATAGTTTCGCTGTCCTTTTGCTGTGGAGAACAGCTGGAAGAGTCCCAAGAGTAGAAGCTGGAAGAATAGTAGAAGGCAGTTTCAGAAATCCATGCCAAACCCAGTAGAATCTTGGACCGGCATAGTCAGAGTAGAGCGAAAAAGAAGAGGACAGGCAAATTACAGGTGTATTTTAGAGACGGAAATGAAATAAATTGTTTACAATTTAGGTAGGACATGTGATGGAGAAAATCAAGGATTCCTCTAGGTTTTTAGCTTGCATATATGGCTAAGTAGTGACACTATTTTTGTATATACAAAAGGCTGATATAAAAAGGTTGGGAAAGATGGTGGGTAGAGGCACAGTAATTTAATGAAACATGGAAGCCTATGGATGTACAACAAAGAGTCATCAGCAATGAAAGATTTAGAATCAAGAGAATGGATGAGATCATTTAGAGAACTGAGAATGAGAAAGTGGGTCCAGCACTGATCCTTGGACAATGTAACACTTACTGGCTGTAATACAAGAGCGAGAGAAATATGCAAATAAAACGAAAATGGCTGCAGTTGTCCCCTGGTATTCAAGGGCGACTGGTTCCAGGACCCCCACAGACACCAAAGTCCGAAGGTGGTCAAGTCGTTTATATAAAACAGCATGGTATTTCTTTATAACCTTCACATGCCCTTCCACATACTCCAAATCATGTCTAGATTACTTTTAATGCCAAATACATCACAATTCTACGTCAATAGATGTGATATTTTACTGTTTAGGTAATAATGACAAGGGGGAAGCCTATACTTCCCCATTCTCAGTACAGGTGCAATGTTTTTCAATCCACAGTTTCAGCCAACAGATATGGAACTTGTGGGATCAGAGGGAAGGAGCAAAGACAAGCATGGATCATCTTCACTATTCTATATCATCTTAGCACCAAAACCAACCAAGAAAGAAGTTTTAAGAAGAGAATGGACAAGTGTGCTAAATGCTGCTAAGAGGTTGAGTAGAGGTTGGCTTTAAAATGAACAGGGTAGGGCTGGAGATTTAGCTCAGTGATTCTGCCTCGCAACTGCAAGGTCCCGAGTTTGATGTCTGGTGCCCAAACAAACAAACAAACAAAAATGAACAGTGCAAAAGGCATCTTATAAGTAATACAGGAAAAAGTGAACTTTCCAACTTCCTCTGAAAACATACTCCTTTTGTAGAAAACTGTTCCTCTTCCAGGTCCTCAAGCCAAACATCTTGGTGTCACCTTTAACTTTTCTTTTCAGCTCCTACCTCGAAACCACCAACAAATCCTGTTGGGAGTACTTTCAAACCATGTCCATAATCTGACTGTCTCATCACACCTATAGCCATCAAGCTAGTACTCCTCTGTCCCGAATCATTACAGTAGCCTCCTAACCAATCTCCCTGAGTCTACTCCTCCATCCTCATCAGCAAATTCTCAATGCAGTACTCTGAACGACTCTTTTTAAAGGTCAGCTGGCCACAACACCTTGGTCAGAGGTAGTGACAGCTTCAGATCCATATTCGGAGGGAAAGTCCAAGTCCTCCCAGGACAATGAGGCTTTCTGTAGTTGTTCCCACACAACCAGCCTCCTACCTCTCTTTCCTGCCTTTGAAGAAGCAGATTTCCATGTTGTGCCTTATAACCTATGAGTGCTTCTAGGAGCCAAGAGGAGCACTGACTAACAGCCAGCAAGAAAAAAGAGACCTCAGCCCTACAAAATGAAGGGAACTGAATTATTCCAGATACTTTCAAAGTTTAAGAGAAGACCCCCAAGCTCCAGCTGTGATTATATCTCTGGTTAATGCCTGATTTCAACCTGGTGAGACAAAGTAGAGGATGCAAACTCCAGACCAGTGGAAATTATGAGATAATAAATGGATGCTGAGTAAGTGCTAAATGTGTGGTAATTTGTTATACAGTAGTAGAGAACTGAAATGCAAGTCCATGTTCACTGCTTACACAGATAGAGATCAAGAAGACTTAAGTTTGCTGTGAGAGCACATTACCCTAAGGGTAATAATGGAAGCAGAGTTTTAAATTCTAAGTTGTTCCAATCCATGCTGTTTCATACTTTCCTGCCTTTTCAGTGCAGTTCCTTGAGGATTTCCTATGTGGACATCAAAGACCAAGTCTAATGTTGCTTCTTTAAGGAAGCATTTCCTTATAGCCATCCCATCCACTCCTGAGCAGTATTCCTGTTCTTCACTTCCACAGGAGTGATGTGTTTGTACAGCTATGAAACACTTGCCAGGATGCATGCAATAACTTTTTATATGCCTGTCCCCTACCATATCCAGACTATATATTTCAGGGCAGAGTGGTCTCAGTTTCCCACAGAGTGTGGGTGCCAAATAGGTGGCTACTGAGCTAATAAAATTTGGGCCTGGATAAACACAGGCCTTTGGTGTCCAAGGAGGGGCTGTTTCATTTCTAGCACAGCTGACCAAGCCTCGGTTATTAATGGAAACTCAAAGAGCCTTCTCTATGACAACATCTGGTGACTCACCAAGCACTTCCTGCAGTAAAAGGGCAGATATTTACTCTCAGAAAAACTGATCTGAAATGAATAAGTGTGCTTGAAACAACAGGTGGCAGAAGCTGAGAAGAAATTAGATTCTCCTCAAAAAGGATGGCAGGAAGCCCTGTCTGATTTGTTCTGATTCAAGCCCTATGCAAGGTGTGCATGCTTGCTAATTTAAATTACTTGTGTTAATCCGCTCCCCAAATAAAATGTCAACCTAAATACACAATAATCTCACAGAATTAGTTTTTCTCAGTGGCTTAAAACTAGGCAACAAAACAGAAGTGAGAATCATATATCAACAATATTCATGGCATTCACAGAACTCTAGGGCACACGGCATTTTTAGGAAATACAGACTCAAGAAAAATTATGTATAGTCACTTCACAGGGAATAGTATTTTTGGGGGGTTTTGAGAAAACTCAGAATTTACATCTTTCTTTAGAACCCATTTCTATGGGTAAGATTCTTTTTATATGTTCATCATTAAATAACAAATAAAGAAATATAGCTTGCGAATAAAAGTTTTACAGTCACATGGCCAGGAACTTAGAAACATAAAAATTCAGAAGGAAACAGTTTTGCGACTTTAAAACTGTTAATTATTTCTAATTTTTTATTCAATAAAATTGTTGTATTTTTAAATATTTAAGAAAGTGTTTGACATAGTTAAACTCTTAATATCAGCACCTCTTTCAGCTCTCTTGGGTGTGCTGGAGTTATCCTAGAAACCAAATCAGATTCTGCAGGTATCTGATTGAGGACCTTTTGTAAGTACTGGCTGGCACTGGCTCAGAGAGACAGGTATCTGGGGACACAATTTCCATGATCAGCAGTAGGGAGGGGCAAACATGAAGTCCGGTTTCTCACCTTTCTTTAGGGTAACACTAAGATGCTCCTTAATTCATTCAACAAATATTACCTGAACTCCTCCATCTTAGTCACTTTCTTACTGCTGGGACACATTACCTGGCACCCACAATGGAAAGGAGGAGTTTATTTTGGCTAACGTTTTTAGTCCATAGTTGGCTGGCTCCAAGGCAGGATGGCATTGTGGAGGGCTGTAGGGGAGGAAGGGCTGCTCATATTTTGGCAGCCAGAAATCAGAAGGAAAGGGAAGAAAATACATCCTACCAGGTCACACCCCCCAGAGATGAGACTGTTCTGATCAGGCCCCACCTCCTAACATCCCATTTAGCTATAGCACCCTCAGGATTCAATCACCTTCCAAAAGCCCCACCAATGAGCACATGAGGCTCTGGGGGAATCTAGTTATAAACCATACCAACCTGTTATGTAACAGACTTTGTGCTATGAGCTAAGGGTGCAGCTATGAATTAGGCACACAGGATCACTGCTCTCACAGCACTTGTATTCTCATGTGGGTGGATGATAAGTGTATGTGTGCACTGTACATAAATAAGAAGAGAAAACAGTCTTAAATGCTAATTATGAGTATTTAAAATGGAAATGGAAACTTCACACTGTCAGAACACAGTAAATACCTTCGATACTCTGTGGGCCCACAAGATTCATGGCCTGGTGAGCTGGATATTCCACCCGTGGCCTGGCAATGCCCAATTGCTCCATAACACCATGAAGCAGCCTCTGGATATCTGTTTCGGAGACTCGGTCAGGAGTCCGTGGGCTGTAAGCGAATGTTGGAGTCCATCCCAATGCCAGCCAAAATAGTAGGCCAGAGAGCATGGTAGAGACCATTCTGGAGACCATTTTTAACCTAGCAAAAAAGACCAAATTTACATTGATTGATCACAGTTGACAACTGTGATATGTAACTGTGATGATGCAATCATGTAACAACCATGGGTTGTTGTTCAAGGAGCACCTGGTAGAGACAGTAATGTAAAATCCCTGGAGGTTTGCTTCGGTCTTAAGTGTCCCTGTAAAGCAGGACCTCACAATGGGAAGGTACAATAGAGACCAAACAGTCTGGGGGATGCAATTCTTTCCATACTCAAACTTTTGAGAAATCTAGGATTCTGGAAAGGCAGTTCTCATTCATACAGTTCACGTTCCTTAGCTCCCTGAAAGTTGTTTTACCTCTAACTTCACCACTCTCTCCCTTGCTTACCAAAACAAATAAAAACTTCCTCCAATTTTGAGAGTGGGTCAAATTTTGAGTTTGTGCAGTCTAAGGAAAGAAAAGGCTAATGGGAAGCGGTTAGGAAGATGCAAATACTAGAGAAGCACAGAAAGCTTAGGTGGGGATGATGGCAGAGAGTGTCTTAATTCCACAACTAACGCCACTGAGATCCTGAGGAGAATAAAAGTTCACCGCAGCTTGGGCCCCGTCCTGTGAGCTACAGGAATAGGCAAACACCTCAGCTGTCTCTTTTGCAGAAAGGGGAGAATACAAACATCTGGCTTACAGGGTTGTTGTGAAATAAGTGTGCAAATACACTTTTAAAAGCCTAGGACTATGGCAGGACCCAGTGAGGGCCCTGGATAGCTAGCTGGTAATACTGCCTTATTGCTCCGGAGGGTAGCATTTGGAGAGAGAAGACAAATTAAGGGAAGAAAGAGGAACCTCCGGGGTGCTGTGTATGGGTGTCTGTGGCTATGCCAGCCGAACAAGGGTATCATGTTCCTGCAGCCAACCTTGAGGCTGTTAACCTGCTACTTGACAGCTGCGATGCGATGCTTCCGGCAAGCCTCCATTTGAACATTTTACTCAGTGCTCGGAGATCAGAGCAGAATGAGGAGGCAAAACTGCATTTTTCCCCCCTGAGACTGAAATATTCGCACCACTCTATCTCTTCTTCTGCAAGGAGAAAGCTTTTTCCTAGCTGCTCCCAGATATAAAACCTTGCTCCTCAGAGAACTGGGAACAGCTCTTTGTTTCAACAGCCAAATCTGCAATTGTGATGAAAAGGCCCGAGGCAGACCGAAGCCCCTCCACCGCATCTCCTCTTTCCCTTATAGGCGAAACTAGGAATGTTTCCTTTTCCCCCAGCTGACTCCGATCTGATTTGACCAACCACCCAATTTCCTCCTCGGGACTCCAAACCCGTTAATCCCCCACCCATCCTTTGTCTGACCCCAGCCTCGAGCTCTAGGACTTCGGCGGGACACCTCCCCGACTCCGACTCCCGGAGGACTCGCTCCCCTCAGTGCTCCAACCCACAGCAAACAATACTCACCGAGGGCCTGCAGGGAGCCTGGTGCGGTCTGGGCCTTGCTTTGAACAAGCTGGGAGCTGGACAGCTCCTGCGTCACCTCCCTTCCTCCGGAGCCCGCCCCGACCCCGCCTCCAGCAGGTGGAAGCGGCGCCTCCACAGAGCACGCACACAGCGTCCCGATGCGCGTGCGTCTCTCTGGTCGGGGGTCACCCGACCCTCACTCCACGCTCTGTGAAACCTCCTGGGTAGTCTTCTACCCACCCGTGACGCCGTCCACCTCCTTTGTGTCTCAAGCAATTATCTAAACAGTGTACCCTACCGCCTTCAATGTGACCTTCTAGAACAGAACAGCTTGACTTTTGTTTTTGACTCTTTTAGCTTAGAGGGAAAGAAAAAGATGAAGCCCTAAGGACTTTTAGCGGTGGCGGTAACGTATACATAGCCCTTTTACTGGGGGATATTTAACACCAGATGCTAGACTTTTGTTATACTGGTAACTTGAAAACCTCGAGGACTATTAGCTCCGAGTGTCACCTTCTGTTACATTTTTATTAAAGTAACAAAAAGGTGCACATTTGTCCATAAAGCTGTATGTTCTTTTATATAAAAACAAACACTGTTGACCTTTGTCTCTTCCGTTGCAGAAGCTTACACACTATTCTTCATTTTCTTAATAGGAGAGATAGCTCTGCTCAACGGTCTAGCTCTGGGAGTTTGTTGATTTTAAAGTGAACATTGAAAAGACTAAGCAGGAGCCCACGGACTTGCTTCTAAAAAGGTAGGACCTGTTTGTGGGCAAGATGCAAGGACACAACTGCAGTGATTCGCAGCTTTGTCTCAACCCAGAGGTCAGAAAAGGGCCCTAGGTATCAGCCTTGTTAACAACAGAGCAATCAACCTGGAAGCAATATCTGGAAAGGTGGCATGAAAGCTGGAGAGTTGAAGAGAAGGCAGAACTTGGTAGAAATGGGGTGGAGTGTTTGGTATTGAGCAAAGAAATCCAGGAAAGGAGATTGGCTGTGGGGAGTGGAACTTGGGAGTGGACACATAGGTTGGGGTGGGAAACTCCTCACTAAGGGAGGGCTGTCCAGGTTCCCCAGATGCTCTCGTTTTTATTTTAGGGAAATTTGAGCCTCCTGAGAACCCTTCGTCGTTGATGTCACTGAGGAATGGAAGGAAACAGATTTCTTCCTGGTGTAGTTTCCATTTTTCTTCAACCTAGAACCGTGGATACTATGCATATCTATAGACAAGTTTGGATTGTACTGAGACTGCATCGTAACCCACAAGTGCTGAGCACCTAGGAGAAAAGGTTTGGCTTTTAGGATCAGGCCTACAAGAACACCCAGTAGTCCTGCAGAAATGGGCATTCTCCCCCTTCTGCTCAGGAAGACCTGCAAAGTCCACCTGCCAGCCATCATCCCAAGGAAAGCAGGAGATGGCTCCCTAAACCAGGAGGGCACCAGGAGAGTGTGAGATTTTGTTCTCCTCGGGGTTATTTCTAAACATCCACATTAACCTTCAAGGAAGATTCCACTGGGTCCTGAAGAGAAATCATACTCTCAGGTAGACCCAGACTGTTTTTTTGGACAGTGCTGGGGATAGAACCCAGGATCCTGTGGCTTCTCTAGTACTGAAAATTTGTGAGTAGGGATGCTCTGAGTCTTGCGGAAACTACCATAAACACTTGAAATGCCTGTCTGGGCAACAAACCTCTTTTGATATCTGATAAAATAGTAACTACAGATTTTTAGTCTTCATATGTAAGTCAAATGAAGCGATACCTCAGTTCATGCTTTCGTTTGCTAACTATTTGGTTCGCAAACAGAAGCATTGGGCAAAATATTGTTTTTGTTTGCAAACTGCATTGAGTGACAAACATGACCAAGGCCATCTTTCCCACACAGACAAAATTGTGGCCATCTTTTCCAAAATCAAAGAACAAATTATGTTCATGAGCCAAGGTACTAGGTTTTGAGAAAGGTTTGATTCTCAGGTAATGGGTATAGAAAACAGCAAAAACCTTTGGAATAAAATTGATACATGATCATCAAGTAGAAGTCGGTAAAGCAAACATCTGATGAATTAAAATTCTTCCTACATATATACTGTACATTAAGTCTGGTTGCTCTAAGTATGAGCAATCCTACTCTATTCTATTCCAACATCTAAACTGTGGCATCTAATAATTTAAAATATAAATTTAGATAAGAGTTTCTTGACCATTTGGTTCAAGTTACAAATGGCATTTTAAATTTCATTAGGTCACAGGCAAGTCATTTTCCAAAAAGTTATCTTTAATGTCTTCACTAAATAAATAACATTTACACACAAGGCCATCATAAGTTTTTATCTGAGTAAAATGTACAGAGATGCATCAACTATTCAAATTCTAAAATCAAGCATCTGCACAGAAAAAAATCACCTTAATTTAATTTTTTTCAAGTTTGACTATTCCTCCTTAAATAATTTGATTCTTATACTGGACAAAAACACAAACACATGTATTTGTGCAAATCACCTTTAAGAGCATAGTATGGCTTAAAAGTAATCAATTACTTCTGCATCATAAGTTAGGAGCACATTTCCATGATCATTCTGCTTTAGTCATGTTTAGTTCAAGTGAACACACTGTATGCGTACAGGAGATACCAACCAAATTATTCTGTCTCAAATAGGAATAAAGTACTAGGAGACTATTAAAGCAACTTAGTAGGGATTTTGGTAAAGACAATGAACATTAATGTAATTCAAGACAAGATCTGTGGGGCTTCCCCTTTCCCTTTACACACTAGGTTTTCCAAGAAACCTTCGTGACGTGGAGAAATAACAAGAAATAGATAAAACTGGCTTCACTTTTCCTCTCATACATACAACATAAAAACCATGCAACTTTTAAAAATTAATTTTTTATAAATCCAGCCAGCAATGTCTTTAAAAAGGTAGTGTAACCTGTTTTAAGAGATCATAAAAAAATTTGTTTAAATACTGCCATAATTAAGAAAAACAAAGTAATGACATGTACAGTGAAATGATGTTTCAGAGAAAACGCACTGCTTAGTAATTATCCTGTGCTACAAGCTAACACGTACATGATCCTGCAAGTCGCATTACCAATTACTAATTTTATTTACATTCACGATAAGTATCATATTTGCCAATTACAAATCTACAGGTTTACTTGTTGGTAGCAGTTGAGCCTTTGCGATAGGATTTTTTGGAGAACCTTTGTACCAAGCCCTTTCCCTTTCTGATGGCTTCCTCAGGACCCTGTTTCTCATCCCAGAAGAAAAGCCCGTATCATTATTCACAACAGACCTTAATATATCATGATTGGTCAGGTCCTCCAAGGGAACCTTAACTTGACCATCAGGTATCACCTCTTGCTTACAAACTTTAGTAGACCCTAAAGAAGCATTTACAGAATCTGGGTGCCTCTTCATCTTTATAGATATCTGTTCTTTAGGATATAATTTGGTACCTGAAATAGAGGATTCTTTTGATGTACTTCCTGTACGAGAGGGAAGAGCACTGTCGCAGCTCACTGATTTAACCAGAGGAGAAGCAGTGTCACCAAGATATGTCAACTTTTGCTTTACAGGTTGTCTGCCATACTCCAACAAAGAATTAATTCTTCTAACAGACTGACGGACAGGCGTACGCTGAAATTTAAGAGGTGACTTTGCTTTTGTTCTATGTGATTCATTTAATGAAAGCTGATTAAACCACTGTATGTGATCTGAAACCTTCCCGTATTCTGTCACGTGTGCACTTTCAGAAACTGTTTTATTGCATGTTCCCACCAGTGACTGCTGCTTAACAATTCTCACAGGCCTAGGTTTTGACAGGTTTGTTATATCACATATGCTCTGCTGAGAGGAAGAGGGTTTAGCCTCATCCTCCCTGGGAACTGCACACTTCACTAAGTTCTCTTCAAACCTATTCTCATCCTCCTTTGACTGAGTATTTAGTTTATCTTTTGGGGACTGCTCTTCCTTAATTTGTTCCTCAATAGGGAATTCTTGCTGTACTAAATTATCTCTTTGTATATCTGAATGAATGTCTTTGTGATGTTCCACCTTCATCTGAGTTGAGTAACATTTTATAGTTGTTTCTCCACCAAACTTTTGAGTTTGACGTGATGAGAGACCTCTTTTTGAAAAACAACTTTCATCTTTAACAGCGTGGTTTTTGTCATTTTCCTCTGATTCTCTCACAGTCAAATCATTAGTTTCAAGTAGATTTTCTTCTGCCTTATATTCTCCATAAGATGTTTCATTGATTTTTTCTTTTTCCACATTCGTTATTGATGATTGCCTGTGACTTAACAGTGCATGAAGATTGTTTCCAGACTCAGAAAAAGCTTTCTGAATCTTCACCAAAGTCTCTGAGGTCAGGTTATTTTCATCCCCACTAAGGGAGCTTTCTGTTACACTGCTATTAGTTTTGCTGTGTGAAATGGAAGGGGTGAGTTCACGTGATACACCAGGTGACTTCTCAACTGTAATTTCAGGCTCCAAAGAAAGATTTCCCATTCTTGGAGAAGCTCCATTTGCATCCATTCCTTGAAAACTGGAATTGCTTAGTCCTGTCCAAGATATCCGGTAACTTCTTTCATCTAGTCGCTCTGGAGTTACTAAGTTTTCCTCAGACTTACTGATCTTTACTGAACCTAAAATGAAGCAGTACAGTGCTTTTTAATCCTTTATATCTGACCTAGATTTTGAAATATAATCCTAACATATGGCAAATAAAGATATTAAGTACTTACAAAAAAATTAAAGATTAGTGATAAAACAATTTTAGTATAAAAATGCCAGATATTTTCATATTTTCATGTATAAGCATTCTCCAATTGTTGAAAATACATTGCCAAGTCAAATATGTCTACTACTCAAACATGAACTTTAAATATCTAGAACAGCAAATTATTTAATATATTTTATCATTAAAAGGCAATTAAAAAAAGCAACTAAAGCAGGATTTTTTGGTAAAACTGAAAGTATTGTATAAATGTACCTTTTTTTGGTAATCTTTCATCAATATCTGGGCTAAAAAGCAGGCCTGTTTTTACAGATTCGATCCTAGTTTTTAAACTTTCTTGATTTGCAAGTCTCCGACCAACATTTTCATATTTATTTATACCAGAACATCCGTTCTGTACAGAAGAGAAAAATTAAAAAAACTTTGGTTAAGAAGTAAATCCAATTAATTTGAAATACTAAGAGTAATTTTTTGTAGGTATCAAAATCTAGAGCTGATTAAAAAAAGACATAGATACCTGGGAAGCAATTTTGTAACACAGATATTCCTACCTGCTAATGAGAATTATATACATTGACATTTCATGCTATAAAATAGAAGTGATCTCACTATTTAAAAAATTAATTTTGTGCATTCTCTGTGAGGGCCTGTTTAGAAATAGAAAAAAAGATCAAAATCTTATCTTGGAATTTACATTATAGATGAGATTTCAATCAAAACAAGAGAAATAATAAAGTACACTGTATAAATACAATACGTAAGATAAAAAGTGCTAGGAAGAAGAGTAAAATGGGGTAAGGAAGATATGGAGTGATGAAAGGTGGGAACAGAATTTTAAATACAGTGATGAGATGATGATTTCTGAGTAAAGAATAATAAGGGCAAGAGCCACGAAGGTTTAAGAGGAAGAACACTGCAGAGAGAAGACCATGCTGGTGTCATCTCTGCGGCTGGAGCACAGTCTGGCATGTTCAACCAACAAGGAAGTCAGTGAGTGGGGAACAGCAAGCCCAAAACAGGCAGTGCCAGGAGTGGAGCTCAGAGATGTGGGCTGATCCCACAGATTGCGGAGAACCTTGCAGGCCAACGAGTGAACCCTGGTTTGTATTCAGAATGAAATGAAGAATCATTGGAGGGTTCTGAACAGAAGTGACAGGACCAAGTTAGGTTTTGAAAGGATTGTTTTGGCTGTAGTCCTACAGCAAAGATGGAACCAGGGGAGCCTGTTGGTAGGTGCTTACAGTAGAATCCAGCTGAGAAAAGACCAAACTTACAAAAAAATGGGAAAATGGTACTGGTGAGAATCAGTCAGGTTGGAGAACACTCTAATGGATCAGATGAAAGAAAGGAAAATCAAGAATGTGACAGGTTTTAACCTAAGGGATTGGAAGAATGAGTAAGATAACAAATGGGAAAGACTGCAGATAGAACAGCTTTACTGGAGCACACAGAAGGAAAGAAATGCATCTTAGGAACTCTTTGGGACAGGTTACACTTGAGTAAACATCCAAGTAGAGAACTAAAATAAGCAGATGTCAAGACATAGTTGGAGCTGGGACTATACCTCAAGAGCTCGGAGGTACAGCATGTGCTTAGCAAACAAAAGGAAAAAAAAGAAACAAGGATAGTCAGTCTGTTCTGGAGAGTGTTCTGAGCTACAGAACTTAAACTTGGAAGTCTTAAGTAAATATACTGAGTTTAAACATAACTATTCTCTTGAGTGACTAGAGAAAGAGACAA